TATAAAATAGCAGCTGAAAAAAGAAAGCATTTACAATTTTAATTTAATTTGTATTAAAGTATATGTATGATGTTGCAGATAATGAATCTAATTATAGTTGCAAAATTCAAAATGGTACATATATTCATTATGACGAATGCTCAAATTAAAAATACTTTTTATTCCTGTAAAAAATGATATTACAGTTTTTAAAATTGCTGATTATTTGCGCAAGTATTCTGGGTAATTATATTTGTCTTATTACGCAAGTACTCGTAATAGCTATACTTATTCTCTTGTACAACAATATTTGCTTCATAAACATATCACAAAAGTCCGACAATGATCTTTGAGCTTCATCATTAACAGCTTTTGAAGGGCGTTTCCATTCTTTATTTGCTATTTATGTAAGAATCAGACGAAGATAAAAGCTTCCTAATTATATATCATTTGTTGCATCTCTACTTTAATGTTTTCAAGTATAGATTCTTCAAATTGTTTGAAATTTTTGTTACGTGCTTCCTGTGCTTCTTCAGATAACTCACCGATTGGTAATAATAAATGTGAATTTATAATTTTAGTTAATTTATAGTTCTGCAATTTTAAAAGCATAAATAATTTTTAAATTTAACAGTATTTATCTTTTTCACAAGCAAGTGTGCGTGTGTTTTCTGCAGAATAATTCTAAATGTTTGAGTGAGAACTTCCTCAACATCAGTTATCCTTGAATCATGTTTCTCTGAAAAATTTTCCATCGCCATATTTCCGTCATTGATGGAATCTAGAACCTTTTTTTATCTACATATGTGGACTTATTTGCTTTCAAAATTTCCTTGAACATTTTTCTTGATTTCATCGTCATTATTTATTCTCTTCCAGCTCACTTACAAAAACAGCCGATAAGATATATATATCATATGCAATATGCATTCCACAGTCGAATCCATGCATACAATGTTGAAAGACGTATTCAAAATTTTGATAAATCTGAATATCTTATTTATCTTTTAAGTTTTAACGCACACTAATATTTATATATTATATAAATACTCTCCGTCTTAGATACCTTTTCATACCCAAAATATAAAAGGAAGGGAGGAAAGAAACAAGAAAAAGGAGAAGAATCACATCTCAAAATGAATAGATCGAAATAAATTGGATCAAAAGTTCAAAGGATAAAAATTGTAATTCTGAAGTCATAATCATAAGTGATTTTTCACAAAAGTAAAAAAATAAAAAAATATTTTTAATTTAGGCATTTATTATTATTGAATGCGTTATTTTAAATTTTACAACTTTAGTTTCAGATTTGTAATCAAACGATTTTGAAAACTTTTATGATTTTTATCAAAAATTAAACATTTTTTAATTTTGTATCCATTACTTAATTTGCTATTTTGAATTTTTTAATATTGCAACTATTTTCCTAATTGTTGCATCTAATTCACAATTAACGATAATTAAAAATATGTTCACATACAACTCCTGTATAAATTTATTCATATATAATACTAGATTTATTTATATTAATAACATTTTTAGTGTTTATGACAATCATATTGGATTTATTATAATGTAATTGTAATATTATATTAATAATTTGCCCCATTATAAAAATATACATGTATTTATACTCAATTTATATATATAGTATAAATCAAATTAAAATTATAAATGCTTTCTTATTTTAGCCTCTATTTTATATCAATTATTTTGAAAAAAGCCTAATGGAAAAATCGACAATTTCTTTCGAAATTGAATTAAGCTTTTATTTGAAAAAAAAAAAACATTAATAAAATCAGTTAAGATTTCAAGGCTCTGGATAATTTTGAAATTTCTCATTTTTCCGTACTGTATAACGGTGCGAAATTTTCAATGTGTCAATCCTAGTCGATCCTATGCGTGCGAGAAAAGAACGATAGATATAGGTTTAAGCGGGCGAGACAAAGCGCGTGCTATCGTCGCGACGGCATGGCGCTGAATTTAATAGCATCTTCGATGAACGCGACCACCGCAAACACGAAGAGGCAGCGAAGAGAAAAACAGGAAGAAGATGCAGGCGCGAAGAACAAGGCACACCGACGATCTCGTCGTTACGAACTACATTGTTTCACGGTCGGCGCGTCGACTAGAGTGTATTAGAGAACGATACGTTTAAAAACGAAAGCTTGTATAAAAATCGAAAGAAGCCTGGTCAACCGCTCAAAATTTCAGATAATAAAATAGAAAATTTAATACAATTTGAAATGTATATGTCATTTATTCAATATTATTTAAATTTCTTCCCTTTTAAGAGTATCAATTTACTAAAAATATTATCTAATAATAAAAATTTATATACAAGGTGGAACACGAAATGTCATACCATATAATTTACACATACATATATATATATAAAAAAAATATATATATATATATATATATATATATATAATATATATATATATATATATCATATTTATTTTTAATAAAATTGTACACTGATATAAAATTAATTACATAAAAGGCTGAAAATTCGATAATTAAATGACATTTCATGCTTTATAGAATTTCCTGCCTTTTGATATTTCAGATTAATTTATATGTTTGACATTATTTTACTGTACATACATTTATTCATTTTACAGAATCTTAGCTAGCTGATACAAATAAAGCATTGCGATACTTCGTCGATGTCGATAGTTAATTAAGAGCTGTGGGAAAACAGCATTTAGCTACAGGTTTTAGCGACACTGAAACGATTCCATTTCGCATCGCGCGAAGCTCGCCGTGGCGAGAATTATCATCGGGAGTTATGATTAAGACCCGACGTGGCGGCACGATCGAAGGGCACGATCGATCGAATGCATATATCCGAGCGCGGAGTCGACGGTAACCGCTGAACGAATAGCTGAAAAGCCGAGATCTCAATTACGATGATCGCAATGAAATATCGCGAGTGAGATTTTTAAGAGCGGTGTGGTGCGCGGCGATGCGCGCAAGATAAATTTGGGCCTTGCTTGGGGCGCGTTGCGCGCTTCGTCCGTGGCTGGATCGGTGGTATCCGTTTGATAGCAGATAGCAGGCCGAACGATGCTGGTATGTTCTCATTACGCGTCATGTAGGTATGCGGCGGCCGGCTCGTGTTCTTCGTACTTCGAGGCCTCCACGTCCACTCCTCGCATCATCCGTTGCGCTTACATTCTCTCTCTCTCTCTCTCTCTCTTCTTAGTTTTCTCTTTTTCGCTGGCGAGTCGTCGTATCATGTCTACAAAGTAGAGAGTTTCCTCGAGTTCCTTCCGCGACTCGTGACAAATGCAAAATGATAAAAAAAAAACATTACGCGAGGAACGCAGATAATTATCCTAGGAAACACTTCGTAATATCGACTCGCACGTCTTCCCGCTCGAAATTCCATAGTGATTCGACGGATTTCGGAGGAATCCTCACTTGAACTCTCGCTGTCTTTCTTGGTACCACTTCCATCTCTCGTTCTGTCTCCTAGCGAGATGGTGATCTCGATGACGTTGCTGTGGGCATCGCGCTGTTACAGCCGCACAACGGCGCGCTAGTAATGATGATGGTGGTGGCCATGGTGGCGATGTGGTGGTGAGATGGTGGTGGTTGTAGCGATGGTAGTGGTGGTAAGATTGTGAGCTTGGTAGTGATGGAATGAATCGGCGAGGTAAGAGGAGAGGGAACTAGTTCAGTGAACAAAACGACGTGAGAGGCAGTTGCACGCTGTAACAACGCTTCAACGTCGTATTCGCGCTACGGATACTCGCATGAACGCTCGAATGAGAGAAGAGAGCTTTAACCCTGATATTCCCTGTACGTGCGACACACGTATAAAGAGCTCTTTTAATTTTATATTAGGCTGCTGGATACCTTCGAGCGAAGTTTAACGGGTTGCGGTGAAAGAACTCTCGCGACACGCATTGGATTATTGCCACCATGAGCTTCAGTTTATGCTTCGCAACCATGTTACGAACATTGAAGACCATCTATTGTGCGCGCACGCATATTACGTTTTTGTATAACGCACTTTTTGCACCGCCTTTTTTTTGCAATCTTTTTTATAATAGCTCGGTATAAAAAAAAACCGGTCAACTCTATTTTCTTTAATTTACTGCAGTACTGACAAAAAACTATTCTACCAAATGTATACTAGCAAATATTTCACAAAAACCATTGAAATATAAAACTATTTTGTTCGGAGCTGTCCGTTTCTTATACCAAAAGACATTAAATATTTGGTATATCAAACTTCACTTGAAAAATTATTTTCGAGTCTCTGAAATTGTGTCAAAAAATAGAGTAGACCAGGAGATCCCTTTTTTTTTCAATTGCATTGAGTCCTTCAATATAAATGTTGAATGTACATGTTGAAGGGAATAAATGATGCCATCTTGTAAAAGGAGCAGAAATTCTTGAATCTGTATATAGTTCTTACTATTTATGATACATTTGGCTAATATTAAAATAAAAATTTATTATAACTTGGAATCTATTAAAAAATAATAATAATTTCGAGTTATAATAATTAGAAGGAAATACATAAGTTTTTCTTACCTATCTTTCTTATTGAATAGCATTATATTACTAAATTATTATTGTTATTATTATTATGGACATTAAAGTTATTTAAGAAGAATGGCAAGCTCACCTTTCTAATAAAACTCGTACTACAAAGACCAACATGGCCTTTCGTATTTGACAGCTTCATACAAAGTATAAATAATATTTCACGTGCGAGGTATTATCATAAAATAATAGCTTAGCATAATAAGCCTAATAGCCTAGAAGGCATGTACTAAGCTATTAACAAATCAGCTATTCTAAGTTTACAAGCAAGTTAAGAAAGCAAAATTTGAGCAACCAAGTTGAGATCTTAGAAAGTATTAGTGCTAGAATTTACAATCTAAACTAAGTTTGTAATTTCTAAAAATTTCTACGACACGGCTTCCGGAATTTCGTTCTTGACGAGTACAATACTTTTTGTTTCATGCCGACAACTTATAATTAGCCTGACAAGTACATTCCGTTAATTAGCGTATACGTTGAGAAAGCCGAGCGAGAGAATCGTACCGTCAATCGGAGCCCGAAACAATGACGCGCCAATGCCATTCACACGTTGCATTCTGCTACAAAAGGCTAATGCTATGTAAATATATAAAGTCTCGCCCATTCAAGCGCGATCTTCTTCTCACGCAAGAATAGTTAAAGGCGGCCTTGTACTTGGCGTCCCGACCTTTTAGGAAAAGAGATGATGTACGTCATCGCGTACCGTTACGACACACGATCACGCCGACCGATTCGTCAACGTTCCTCCGTGTCTCTTTGTCCCCTTTCAGGTATCAACCGTGTCGGAACAAGTCGCGAAATGAATTCACAAATGGACCGTTTGAAGATCGCCCGACAACAAGGCTGGGCCTTCCAGCGTTCAACCACGATCCAACTCGCGCGAAGCAGCTATGGACGTTTGAAAAGCTGACGGGCATAGAAGTACATACGTACTATCAATTTCTATACTGCTCCATACCGCGTGCTCGTTTTACAAGAGGCTACGACGCCACGTCGGTGAGTTTTATGACGTCGCGCTTTGGTAGCGTAATCCAGTCCCGAATGGTTTCTGCGCCAAGTAGACGCGGCTCTCTCGACACGCAGATTATAATGCGTTATAACGTAATACGACACTCTACTCAGTTATACTTCTTCTACAACCAAAGACGTTCAAACCCGTTTCAGCAATGAGGTTTGCTAATAAAAAAAAATCGAAAGAGGCAATGCCGTTCACTGGGCTTTACAGAACGTGGATACCGAGTGTGAGAAAAATTCGATATTACGATTACCAAGACATGTTCAGTTGCATAGTACTTTCGTTTGTTGGTCTTTTATCCATATTATTGCGCACACATAGATATTTAGAATTGCGGCATGTAACTTTCGCACTCGCCAGATTTTTATACAGTGTATTGGAAAAAACTGTTCAAGGAGCAGTCAAGAAATTTATCGAATAGATCAATTCAAATAAATCCAAGATAGCGATCGAAGTAGCCTAGAAAAACGTGATAAGAAAGCAACAATTAAGAAGAGGTTGTCGCTATTCGCTCAGATAAAGGAAATATACGCTACTTTTATTAATAAAGAATTTTAGTCCAGTTCCGTTACATGTTTCAAAAAGACGATAACAAGTTTTCGTCTTTTTTTTTATCATTATCTATTTATGACTGAAACATGATATCACACTTTATATCGACAGTGTTTTAAGCACGAGACTTTATCCTTAATGTATCCGACAGAATAAAGGAATGTAAGGAAACATTTTTAGCCGATTATTCCTTGGTCTGAGCCAGCTGACGGCATTACTTAAGAAGTTCGATCTGATATCCACGGGAATTCGTCGATCGATATATCAAATTTGCCACTTGAATTTGTTCAAAAATAAACGTCATTACTAACTTTTGTAAAATTTGTTTACAAATTATAATATATCTTAAGATTCATAGAATAATTAATTTAAGTACAATAAGATAAAATGACTCAAATAAAATGACGAAAAATAATATTATAATTTATTAGATACAAATATATGTAAATCAATCGTGTTTAATTACACGAACACACTATATATTTGTATAAAGTATATTGTAGCTACAAAATTAACGTCGCGTAAATTTTATGTTATAGTTTGAAAATCTATCTATAAATAAATGAAAATGTTTTAACTTTATTACAGAAAGTCTACAGTCGAACACATCTGGAGCAATTATTCCGACTGACAAGAATAAAATGATAGCAATGCTGAACTAAATGAGAAGCCAATCGTTGTAAGTGCCGCGTTTCTCCCTTCCTGTCTCTCTCTCTCTCTCTCTCTCTCTCTCTCTCTCTCTCTCTCTCTCTGGATCTAAAAGTCCATTACTCCATAGACTAAAAATAACCGGTTAAACGACAAAAAAGGCCATTCAGTAGCAGCAAGAAATTCATGTCTTGTGCAAATCAATCCAACAACGGCTCATCTACGACGAATATAATCGCGCCGCTTATTCTATCCAACTGGAGCAAATTCCGCAATCCATGAACTAGAACCGCGCTCGTTCCAGCGAGACGTACATAAGGTTGAATCGATTTGCCGGTGTAAAACCGGCTGGGCGTCGGCGGCTGCTGCCAGTAGAAAGAGACGGAAAGGGAAAAAAAGAAAAAGGGAAACGCCGAAGGACAGTGGAAACGCGCGGGGAGGCTAACATTGCGCTGGTATGGCGGGGTACCGAAGGAACGAAGAAGTCGAAGGTGGAAGCAGGACGCTTAAAGACGGGGAAGAAAGATGGAACGTGGCTGAAGAAGAGATTGAGAAAGACAGGGAGAACGAATGAAAGACAGAGACCGAGACTCGATCTCTCTGACTGCCTCTGGCTGGTGGCGGGGTGCACGGACCATACTCCCCTTTCCGCCCACCAAAGACCGATCTCCTTCGTCAGTGCCGGCGTGGCGCGGATTTCCTACAGGTGCGTTTACAACCTGCCCCACGGTTTTCTCATCCTCCTACCTGACAGTGCGGACCGCGGTGACAAACGCGCTTTAGCCGCTTTGGCGTCGCGCGTCTACCTTTGCAAACGGAAGCGCTACTCCGATCTTCGGAGGATGAATCGTAACGATGGTACAGTGGTACAGTGAGAGTTCTAGAGTTTACTAGGCGAGAACGTACTTTTCGTAAACGTTGACTTGATCTTAGTTCAAGTAGGACTTGGTTTAGAGCTCCCGCGAATGCAACGGTTCCCTTTCATCGTCGAACTACCGGATTATCTTGGAATCATATCTTGGACTCGGATCTATAGCGTATATGTATCAGGCATGGCTGAGCATCGAATGCACCGAGGTGAGGAAATTCCACGGTAGCGGCGACGGAACCAGACTGTGAGAGAAAGAGAGAGGGTGCCAAGTTTCGCGTTTACGCACCTGCCCCTCATACCACGTCCCTACCTAAACCTCTTGCGTTCAACCTGCGCGGCATCGCTTCATAGGCACTGGTAGATAGGATACCAGCAAACCCCCGCGCGTGCCCTCAGTCCATTGGGTCCACCCTCTCTCCGCTCGCTCTCCGACTACCTGTCGGTCTCGCTCTGGCAACCGCAAGCCGGCCGGAACCCACCTCTCTCGCACCAAAGGCAGCTCTAGAGTTGCGGCACAGCATCCAGCAGCAGCGCTACTAGCGGCAGCCAAACGGAAAGACTCTCAGGCGAGTCGCCCTGGTGTATAGGTGTACGCGCCAATGTGTGTGTACGTGTGTGTGTGTGTACGCGTGAAGTGTGCATGAGCCTTACCTGCGTGGGTGTGTGAGCCGAGGAAGCCTACCTGGCGGCGTCCGACACGCAGTTACTCGCGCGCTTCTTTGCGTTCTCCCGCAGGAAAGAGCGCCGCGCGCGTATCGACATCCCGCTCCAGTTGTCGTCCTCTCGAAGCGGAGTTGCTTCTAGGGTACCGACCTTGGGAGAGAAGAGCGCGTCGCCGCGCGCCTTGTTCCTTTCGCGGTTCACCAGGCGAGATCGGAGCAGAATCGGAAGTGCGACGAAAGGAATCACGCTGCTCGTCTACTCCGCGCTTACCGCGTGAAGTGTAAGTGTGTTTACGTGTACACGGAAAATAGATAAGGAGTGATACACATACGGGCGAAGACCTCTCAAAGTCCTCGTCGTGCGATAGTGGATATCCGTGAAAGTACAACGGATGTTTCCGTCGCTGATCACTGAACTGTCGGCCAATAAGGGATTTCGAGCGGAGGAAGAGATGCGTTGGTGGTTTGCTGGAGGACACTGAAAGGGAGACCTGGAAGGCTTCTCCATCAACGTCCTCCAGGTGAGAGAGTTTTCCCAGGTGGAATGTATCCGGAGAAGTCTTTAAAGGAACTTTTAGGACAATCGCGTGTTTGCCTCGTTGCGTCCCTACGGACATTCGCGATTCCAACATGGCTGCTGGGACTAGCCGTGACCGCTGGGTCCGCGGAAGCCATGTTGGCAGGTGTGCTCGGTTCGAGATAACCAGTTCACGTTTGTGAAACGTACGCAGCATCGATATTCTGGATAATAGATCCGAATGAGCACTTTACCATTGAATTATCATTTAAATCGCCGCGCGTCTGCCATCCTTTGAAAAGCCCACTTGCGAAACAATATACGCTCGATTTCACAGGTAAAACGAGTTTGCGAGATGTGATTAATAAAAAGAAAAAGTCTCTTTAAACGCTGTCCGTACCCATTTCCTATACGATTGCGAAAGTTTACGGTGAGCTAGAGTACAGTGGTTCTCTCGATGTCCATTAGACATTCGTGAAATCTACGAATAAACTACAAATTGTTTGTACATCTCTCTATTTCTTAAGTAAACACCTAATAAAGAATTAAGCTATACGTCAAGGAATGTTTAATACATTAAACATAATACATTAAATATAATATAAACTTGAAAAAACAAAATGACAGCGCCGTTAATTACGACGATACGGAAAAATTATTTTTATCAATTTAAGTATATGCATCTTTAAAATTTACTCCATTCCTTGATCTTTTTTTTGTTGGAAAAAAATAAAAAATGGCTTTGGAATCAAGCCCATCTCATCTACAAAAATACAATCTCACCTACAATACAAAATAATACACGTTAGGTCTTCTTCTGTCATTCTATTTTTTGTGCTTCTACGTACTTTGTAGGACTTTTTGGAAAACTGCATTTTGATTCTTACATGATATGCTGAAGATGGTTAAAATAAACGAAACATTTGTTTTTTGAATCTTTGTAAATTTGTTATATTAAAGTATTTGTAATTTATTTAACGATTACACACGCATCGCTTATTACTGCATTGATTTCCTAGAGCCCAAATATTGCTATTTTTCTTTTGTATCTTTTTTGTATAAATTATAACTCGACATAAATAATTATATTAATATATTACATGTATGATTTACGTTTATGAAGAATATCTAACAACTTATTATCAAAATAGATAATTCAGAATTAAGAAAAGAATTTTCCGTGTCGAGTTCGTTCTTAGATATGTTTTTTTTTTGTTTAAATTGTTATCTTAACTTTTATATAGATTTGTAGAAATCGTGTAATATATAGTCATGCAATACATACAAACATAAAAATTCAATATTTTTAATCAAATTTATTTGCAGTTTTTAAAAAATAATTAATATATTTATTAGATTAAATGTGTATTAATTATTATATTAATTATTTTTGTATGTATCACGTTATTTTCTTATATTTAATAATTTATAAAAAGCACAGAAGTTATTTAGAGGATAATTTTAATAAATTTATTAGAAATAAAAAATAATTTTTAAATATATATATATATATATTTTAAGTTCTATAAATTTTCAATACTGGTAGTATATATCGGAATACAGCCTCTGTATTAAGCACTGCGTCTATTTCTCATGATTAAATTGTTATTAATATACATAAAATGCAATGCTTAAAAGAAACTCATCTTGATTAAACAATTTGAGATTAGCTTGATTTTACACGATTTTGTTACGATTATTTGCATAAAAACGAGCGCCAAATCTAAATACAGAAATTCGGAAATATATAATCATAAACAAATATTTTAAGAATCACACATTTAGCGGAACAAAGAATTGATTATGTTATTTATATTAATTTAATTTTTATTAATTTATCAGGGAGTAATTAACGATTTTTTAAATTTTTTAGGTGCAATCAGTATGCCAACCGACATCGTAGTTACGTCGGCCTCGGCCACGGTTTCAGAGGAGACAAGCAGAGGTCGGGACTTAGGCCTTGGACAGTCCCCAAGATCAGGTCCCTCTTCTGCAGCCTCGTCATCCTCCAATTCTAGCGCGGCGTCAACTTCAAGAGGATTTGATCCATCTAGCACTCTCGCCTATCACCATCACCGCCACAGCTTGGTAACTGGTCTAGGTCATGCTCATCACCGAGAATCATCAGCCTTTGTGCCTGTGGTGCCTTCAAGATTACAACTCACTCCGTATCCAGGTGAAATACATCCCCATCTATCCGGACCACCGCCCTCTTCCTCATCGTCAACGAATTCGGAACATGAAGTCGGCCCTGAATCTTCAGTAGCCAGAAAAAGCTCCTCGAGTTACGATATCATGGCGATGATGGCCGACAAGAGAAAAGAATTAGCGAGAGGTCTTTTACTACCACCGCATCCTCTCCTTGAGCCACCTGGTTATCCGGTATTTGCTGGTCCTTTTCCAGGTAGTTCCGCATTGTATCCCCCAGGTGGTCCATTAGCCCACCAGCATCTGGATCGAAGGTTACTCAGAGCACCTGGCAGGGCATCTAGACCGAAGAAACAGTTTATTTGTAAATTTTGTAATCGACAATTTACGAAATCATACAATCTTCTTATTCATGAGAGGACTCATACCGACGAAAGACCGTATTCTTGTGACATATGTGGCAAAGCGTTCAGGCGGCAGGATCATCTTAGGGATCACAGGTACAATATACAGTTTTTTGTTAAATTAATTAGAATCAATTGGTTAAATTAAATAAATTAGCTTCACGTAAAAAGAATATGATAAATTAACTTATTTAAATTTTTATTGTATGTTTATATTGTATTAATTTGTTTTGTAATATTAAGTATTTGCAATAAAGATAACAAATAAATAAGTAGATAAAAATAAAATGAAGATGAAATTTTTAAAACTTTGAATTATAATAAATAGAATGTAGACTTTTATATTTATTAACTATTGTTATTTCTTGATTTTCTATTTTTTTTTTCTTAGGTATATCCACAGCAAGGAGAAGCCTTTCAAATGTGGTGAATGTGGTAAAGGCTTTTGTCAAAGTCGTACTTTAGCAGTTCACAAGATTTTGCATATGGAAGAATCTCCACACAAATGCCCTGTTTGCGCGAGAAGTTTTAATCAGCGCAGTAACCTCAAAACGCATCTTTTAACGCACACGGACCACAAGCCTTACGAATGTACGTCATGCGGCAAAGTATTCCGCAGAAATTGCGATCTCAGGAGACACGCATTGACACATGCCGTGGGCGACGTTCCTCCAGAGGCACTGGAAGAGGCGTTGAGGGACGATGACAGTCCCGAAGAGGATTGCCCTGAGCCTGGACCATCTTCCTCATCGACGTCCACAACACCGTCCGTGTCTTCTGCATCTTCTAGTTCATCTGGATATCCTTCCCAAGGATCTTCAGTCCCATCTGCGCCTACAGCATCGGCCTCAGCACCACCTCTTCCTCAGAGACCTCAACTTCAGATTAGAAGGGATTTATTACCCGCTGTGAAGACATCGACGGTGACCAGCGGAGCTTCTGCGGCTCATTCTGTCACTCAAAATCCACCGGCTGCCCTTCCGCCACCACCCCCACTCATTTTGGCTTCTTACCGACGAAGAATTGGCTCCCCAGGTCCTTCCAGAGTATTTCTAGAACTTCAAGAGCGCGAGCGCGAGAGAGAACGAGAGATGGAGCAGAACAGAGAAAGAGAACGTAACAGGGAACGTGACAAGGAAATAGCTAGACCACCGAGAGCACCAACACCACAACCACCACCACCACCACCTAGACCTGCACCAGCACGTCAGGGTTTTACCATTGCGGATATAATGGGTCGATAGAAAATTTGTCGCAGGTAGTTTTCCTGTGCTTGAATTTCTCTTTTATATATAGGCTCTATGGATTACACGAAGGAGAGGTACCGGTCTTTACAAAGAATAGTCTTTCTAAAGATTCTATGAATTCTATGATATTTTTGGAATGCGTAAAAATATGGCTAATAACTTGTTAAATTTGTCGAAAAATCTTATTTGTATGTTATTTATGCATATGTTATTGCAATGCATTTTTCATGTAAATATGAGAGAATTTAAATGAGAGAGTTTAAACATAAGCAGGTGAGAAAGGTATCTTGATAATTTTTTAAAAATTCTGAGTACGCGCATAATTCTAAAATAGTTATTAGACTCGGAAAAACTTAACCCTCTCAATCCAAAATTATTAGGCATAATTAGATAATATATGCATATATTTCTATGTTATTCTGTTATGCCCAATATATAAGTAATAATATAGAGAAATGAATTATAAAATTATAATTTTGTATACGGATTTACATAATATACAAAATAATAATTTTACATATTATAAAAATTATGTATTATATATTAAATAAGATAATTTTTCAAAAATACGTAACAAGAAGATATTTTCATTATTACATAACTTTGAATGCAATATTGAGAAATAATTTCCTAGGAATGAGACGGTTAGAAATAAATATATACCAAAAATGTGCCTTAATAGTTTGTCGTTAAAAAAACAGGTGCTCTCACTTCTCACTGCTGCAGTAGTTGTAGAAGCCACAATACTTTCTGCGACACGCGTGAATCACACGATAACGATGTGATAGGGAAAATGGAAGTCCAGAAGATATTAAGAAACTAAGAAACTGTGACTACGACGAAGTCGTATTCTTTTGTTCCGCAGTTATTCGAGAGAGGGGATAATGCAAATTTTGCGGTCGGGGTAATAACCTGTGCCTGTGCCACCGTGGCAGGTGCAATACGGCTTTGTACCTGCTCGATCCGCGCGCGAAATACCTGCTCCTTGCTACTGCTGCCGTTGCTTTTCCCTTCTAAAAATATTCCGACCCTAGACGAATATCAATATTTTTTTCTTCCCTTCTCCTCCCCCCTCCCTTCCTCCTCACCCCTCGACTCGAAGAAGCATTAATGGTTCTTTTGTGAGATCCAAACTGTATACCATCCGACCGCAGAGGCGACCCTTTCGGACTACGTCTCTAACGCCTACAACACAAAGGTATACCTTCTTTTCAGTGGATTTTAAAGAATCCAGTATTAGAACGATCCCTCGAATATACATTCTAGAATAGCTTTCCGTTTTTAAAGCGTCCATTGTGATTAAATAAAATTTTGATGAATGTTCGAATGTTCGAATGATCTGGCCAACTATGCGTTAACGCGCGTTATACATGAAGAATACAACATAATCGGGTACAAAATATACTCTATGCTTGAAATGATATTTAATAATAGCAATGTATTGTCGTCTTTCTTAATTATAAAGTACATAGATTTTTATAAATATTGAAAATTCAATATTCCGTTAAGGACTATCTAAAAGCGAACAATCATTTCTACAACGCTTTGTTTTGCGCGAGATTATTAGAAATAAATTAAATTAAATTCTATTCTTTACGGATATGCTTGTAACATTATATCTATAATTACAAGTTTAATATTAAACAAATTTGAAATTACTATCATTAAATATATTTCAAATTTGATTTTTCTTAATAAATTAATTTAATTTATTTCAAGTTGTTTTAATGGCAGCGAAACATTGTTAACAGGAATATCATGAATTTTATAAATAGCTGATATGAATGTTTTACATTCGCCATTCGAATAGTCGAGTAATTGTACATGAGACTATTTGCGTAATGTTTTATATGTGTAATAATAATAATGTAATTATTATACTTTAGGTATATTACGAATTTTCCAAAAGTGTGGGATTCGAACGTTACATTACTAATTAGAACACAATTATCAAATGAATATTAATAATAAGATTGTATCACGTGTTCAAGTTATAAAATATAAAAATGTATGAAAGTTGCGTATGAAAGTAGTCAAGCGAGAAATTAGTTCTAAAACTCCATCCTAATATGACTTACAATACGATAATGTTAGTAATCTATGTTTTAAACACAAATGTAATTTTTTTTTATATGTATGTACATGTGAAAAAGAATGAAAATATACAATGTGTGTGTGTGTGTGTGTGTGTGTGTGTGTGTTGTGTACGAATGTATATGTGTGTAAGTGTGTGTAGGAAAGCGAGTGTGATAGCGATAAAGAAAGCGCAAAAAGAAAAAAGCAACAAAGAAGACGAAAAAAAAGAAAAGAAAAAAGTATGAAAGAAGACACATTTGATGTGCTCGATGCAATTTAATGTACAGTGATATATGCAATGTACAATATACTACGTACAACGAGAGCCTGCATCGAAAATTACAAACATGCGAGCGATCAATTTCCTGTTATTTTCTACGTTATTAGTTTATTCCTTATATCAGTAACTATATTTTTAGATTTATATGAAAGTTAATAAGCAACTTTGTAAATTATATTAAGAAAGATGAAATAAAAAAATATAAAAAACGGTAACAGCTGTAATATATTCACTGAAAAAGCGTTTTACAAGAATAAAATTACATTAAGAATATTACATTTAACTTGTATTTTGTATTTATACAAACAATGATTTATATGATTAATTTAAATTCAATATTAATTAAAATTATAAATCGTAACTTTTGTAGTTTTAGTAATTTTATAATATATTTTACAAACTATAGTAGAGTAAATATTTATACTATATTTGTACTATATAGCAAATTTTTTTAAAATATAATTTAGTAAATTAGAATGTGTAGAGATAACTACAGTTGCAAAATCAATTTACAATAAATTGAAATTAACAATAATATATTATTATATTAAATATGCAATGCAATATTTCAGTCTGAACTGAAATATCGACTGAAAATATCATAAATCCTTTTTTTTTTTGGAAGAGCATTTCCAAAGGTATATAGCCGACAGTAGCTAACTTATCTGCTCAGATAAAAGGAATTTATATTAATGAAATTGTGAAATAAATTCTGGACATATTTAATACTTATAGATTTTATTATAGTACATATTAAAAAGAAAAAAACAAAAAATTAAATTTCACGATACGCAATGGTATTTACCAACTGCTAGTTTCTTCACGTACATTTATAATCTTCCAATACTTTTATCTAGATAGCGCAAGAGCTTCTGTACGAACACGTAGAACGAAGATAAAAAGAACAGAAATGGCTTGGAATTTCAAATTTTATATTAAATTTACAGATAAGTTCAAAGTATTGTAAACTAGAAGATATAAATATTCATAATTCCAAGGAAACCGAAGCCTAGGTTTAAAGATACAAATTTTAAACGTGCCTTTAAGCAACTTAAAGCATATTGACAATGTCCACTATGTTATCTTAATCCTTTGTGAAAGAAAAAAAAACCTTTGTTTGACGGAAACCATCCGTGCACTACAGTTCAAACAGTATGTAACTGAATAAATGAAGATAAGATAATTTCGTGATGGCTTTAAACTATGCTGGATTTTCATTTTTTTTTTGCAGAAGAAAGCTTGAACGCAGCTATCGTAGAAAAATATTAGCAAAAAATATTGTTTACATTATGTTTAATTTCTGTATATAATTTGTTTTAATTATCTAACATTTTTTCTAATATTCTTTTCTAACATTTTTTTAATTAGAATAATATTGATAAAATTTTAATTTGTATATATATATATATATATATTGTTATAAATAAACATTGTTTTTATAAGATAAAAAATCTCGCTATCTTCCAATTGAATTAATTATCCATCATAAGGAAATGAAATTGTGATATTTTGCACATTATTATAATTGTATATTAATAAAATTTTATTAAAATACAATACTTATATATTAATAGACTAATAATATATTTATAAATATCTTTTTTTTGGGTTATCATCTTTTTCAATTAATTCTATCTTTGAAATAGTGTAACAAGAAATATCTTAAAATTATATATATATATTTGAATAGAAAACTGAAATGTCATCATTCATTTATTTATACTGCAAAGAAAACTCTTTTATTGCAGAACTGCGTACAAAAATTTCTTGTTAATTAATAAAAACCAAAAAATTGTTTTTTTTTTACGCAATGTCGAGAGGTTGTAAAAATGTCAACGGTTTCCAGGTGAACTTCCGTTTTGGCTCGAATATTGGACGATTTACTTGCAAGAAAGTTTGTTTGCACTTAAACGCATGTTGTGCCGCTGTCAGCTCGGCTCATACATTTTACGAGCCAAGCTCCGCCGCTCGCAGACGGCTTTATGGCGGGGGAGGTGAGTAAAAATCGACAAACAATCTATTCCATCCGTACATGTCGGGCGCGGCCCGTCGTTGTTACACGAGATGATAAGTCCTACACGAATACGTCGTCTTCGTCGTCTTTCCACTTCCTCAGCCGGCCTCGTTGTCGGTCTCTCTGTGACGGCGGCAACTTTCTGTGAAAATTTCGGCGTAACTCAAAAGCTAAGTCAAACATGGGCGTGTTTCACGAGGTGTCTCAGTAAATCCGGTAAAGCCGCGAAGGCAAATTCCTGCGAGCGACCACGTCACACTTTGCTTTACGCATCGTGTACGTATATAGATATACATATATACATATATATATATATATGTATATATTATATACATATGTATCGCAAACTGGATGTGTCTACTTAGGCACTTCGCACGTCGAAGATTGAAGATCACTTTGTCGTGATAAAGCTATAAATGTCGAATAATAAGCTTCTCGCAGAAGCTATTCTCTTTGACAAATAATATCTCGAAGAACAATACTCATTTGGCAAAATAAATGTAGACAAATAAATGTATCATAGGTTTATTTTTTAGGATATCGCAAACTAATCATATATGTAAAAGATGATTAATTTTTTAACAGCATTGTTTATTTATCTTTTTTTATAATGTTTAAAGTAAATAAATTTCAGCTGAGCATATAAATTTGCAACATTCTTCTAAAAATTTTCAAAAGTGGATTTGTGAAAAAAAATGTTATTAGTTCTTTTCTAAAAAAGCTACAGATAAATTTAATATTCAGTGTAACTATTCGTCGTTCGTGACTTTTTTGATATTATCTGATTATTAAATTATATAATAGAATTGTATGATAGAATTTATTGAGAGGATTTTTGTTGCTTTAGTTGCGTAATGAATTATTTTATATATTTGCAGGTCAGAATTCATAGAGATCTTTTTGCATTACTTTTGTCGCGTGATAGATTATCATTTAAATCATTTTCATGTAGATCGGGAGTAACATAATTGCGCACACATAAGATTACAAGACGCCGTCGTGGAAGAGGTCAAATTTGCGTCCGGCATTATGGTGGTC